GTGCTCGACGTTAATAAAAATTAATTCAGCAGAAATTCACGGTTCAAAGAAAAGAAAAAAAAGAAAGAAGATTCTTTAATCCATCATCCTTCCCGTTCAATTAACGGGATTCTGACTTAACAATACCGTACCGACAATATTCCGAGGAAACCGTGCCTCTCCGTCATTCTCGGCAAGACAAGGCCCATCCGTTTCTCATCCCGAACGTCGATCGGAGACAAGTGGTCGATAATTAATGGCCGATTACCGAAAAAGGTCTGCGAGCGTGAACAAATGGGAAAATGAGAACGGGGGCGCGGGGCCAAGGGAACAGAAGGACGGCTCGTTAAGTTTCTATCAGCTGACGGGGCCGGAGGGTACGAGACGAACGAGAGTAACGAGCGAGAAAAAGGAAGAACGAAAGAGAAGACGGCCCGGAGAGAACGTTGCGGAAGGTCTGAACGACGGTGAAGCCTTTAACCTATCACCTGGCACGATGCCTCTGCGATAGTATTGCCGAAGTGCTCGTCCGAGTACCGTACGCCGGTGACGAAAGGTTAACCCGTAATTGGTACGTCCACGAGGCGAGTAATCGCGCGGACCTGGTTTCGCGCGCTCCCCGTAACCATAAGATGGCTCCATTAAATCAGGAACGCCACGACGTGAAACACGATCGCATGAAAATCGAAGGAAATTACAGAAGCCAGCCGGCCGCGTATGATTTATATTTGTGGGATCGTTGGAGCACGACCTGGCCCATGAGACCACCATCTCCCTATCGTCATTCGGTCAGAGGTCGTGTCTCGCGGTCTGGCTGAACACTTTTCAAACTTGTGTCTGATTAAACACGCATTTTCGTAGCCAAAACTACCCAACAGATCAGAACAATCACATTAGTTGACATTAATGTCATTTATCTTTTACTTCACGACTGCTCCGCTAAGTCCTCGCAGCACGTGTATTGTGGTCGATTTGACGCCGGGCTGTTAAAGACAGTTTGTTTTAGCGTTGTGGAAATTGTCATAACGATCGATTCATTTCCTCCGGTTCCTAAATAATTATACATCCGCGACGAAAGTTATTACATACAGTTCGTTCTCTTTTTTTCAATGAGATTGAATTGCATCAGCTTAGTTTTGACACTCAGGGTAGTATATTACAGGATATTGTGAAATCTCTCTTCGTCGTGTTCAACCGTGTTATAAACTTTATTATAAAAAAAAAAAACAAAAAATTACTTTTATTGATATTTAAGTTTTTTTATCGCAATCTTAGTATTACAAATATCAATCATCACGGATCGTGACGGTTTTGAAATATATTGCAGTGACGTGCAATAAAACCTGTTGTGTATCATTACACGGTGATTGCTATACAGTTTATCACACCAAAAAAATGTTACTAAAATATATTATATGTATGAAATATAATATATATAAGAGATATACAAAGTTTCATTTAAATTCATTCTATATAAATAAAGTATATATTGAAGTTTACATTGTTTCACTTTCACACTCAATTACGAAATAATAGTCGGCGATTATTACGATGAGACAGCTTCTGCGTAAAATTGCTGGCCAACAATGTGTTAACGAATCTCATCACGAGCAACGACAATCCATTACGAAACCCTTTTCACATTTGTCTACCTAACCTAACCTAATCGATCGCAAATGTATCACGATCAACAATTGGAACACGTCGTTTGATTAACCATTCAGAAATTGTTTCTTCCCTGAATAGGAAGGAAGCAACGCTGCGAGCGAGAAAGTTTGTTTGTCCTTTTTGTTTTTGCCGCGTCGAGTCTTGCGCAGTCGCCTTCAGCGACTTCTCCGTTTTTTTACCGGAGCAGAGAGCTGCTTGTCAATGAAACGCGGTAAGTCTAGCTGAATTTAAAAGATCACTGCTACAAATTGAAACGCGACTGACAAAAACAGCCGTAACAATATCTACGTAGGATATACACGCGGCATGCTAAACCAGTTAGCTAAGCGTTTCATTAGGCAGATAAGACATGCTTCGTTGCATTGCGCATGCGCGCCTGCAAACTAACCGACCGTACTTATTTCGCATGCATAACCTTATCGCGCAACTAATTACTATCCTAATTACTATCTCAATACATTTATATATATATATATATATATTAATTTTTAATCTTATATATAAATTAAATTTTTAATTTTATATATAAATTAATTTTTAATGTTTATTCGAGTTTCACTTCTTCTTTACAAAACTGACAGCTTTCGATGAAACATGTATTGTCTGTTGTTACGTGTAATCGCTATGGCATTTCAAAAGATTAATAATACATTTCGACTTACGACAGACGAATCGGGGAAGCCTTTCAGAAAGATAAATATCGCAGAAGGATGAATGTCCCACTTGTTTTGTAGAAAAGCTGTAACTTGCACCCACTCTTTCTCACTAACTTTCAAAAACGCTCACTCTCGCCCACGCTGTGCGTTGCTACTGACGCTTGCCGTTAGATTTCCTACATTCCTGCGCATGCGCGGCTCTGTTTTGAAAACCGCTCGCTTTTCAAACGCCAGGCTACTGCAACACGAGTGAAATCGAATGAAATTCTTGTTTGACAGTGAGATCATGTGCGAGAAAAAAAATCTCTTCGACGTTGGGAAATCGGTAGTCGACTTGGTTATCTTGCTACACGAAGGCAACTCCATGCGTCCAGGATTGTCCTGGTATCTTGAAGCCAACCTACGGGAGCAAGGGGCCCATAGACGTTAAAACATGCTGCGATGCATGCATCAACTCCTAGGTTTCATGAAACATCAGATCATGTTTCTGAATCAGCTTGCCTCCAGCTCCAATATTAGTGATATTAGGTTTATTATCACTTACAGAAGAAAAAAAGAAATGAAGAACTAAAAAGAAATTGGCGAAAAGATGATTAATCCAAAGAAATAGATTTTCCAATTCCGCGTTATTAAAAGAACTAAAAACGAATGAGCCTTGTGGCTATAAAAATTATCTTATGGACGACTGTGCCTTTTACTATCTGTTAAATAAA